CATTAAGAAGTGGAATCTATTCCCTTCCTCCCCAGTTTGAATCTGGGCAACATTACTGAGTGGTCGATTACCTGACTTCGGAGGGTAGAACTATAAAGGTGATTTAGCTTTAATTTCCTTTGTGGGTTTGAATTACCAGGTAAAAAGTCTGAGGCTGTCATGTTGTGAGGGAGTCCTGGCCATGTGAATTAGCCTTGTGAAGGCCTGCCGTCCAGCAGCCCTACCTGAAGTCCATGTGCATTAAGTTGCCTCCAGATGATCTCTGACTGAATCAGTCAGCTCAAGTTGCTATTACAGAACGTAACTGACAGAGTGGCTTGAATAGCAAGTATTTATTTCTCATGGTCCTACCCTCGTGACCTCATCCTACCCTACCTTCTAAATACCATTATGCTGGAGGGAAGGGATTTAATATATGAATCTGGGGAAGACACAATTTAATCCATAGCATTACCTTAAGACAGGAGGTCACCCCAGCCTTTGAGTCCTCCCAGCAGAGAACCAAGACACACTGGAGTAGAATAAAACCATTTCTACTAACCCCCTTCCATATTCTTGAACCATAGAATCTTTGGACATGATGATTTCTTAAACTGCTACATTTCTGTGTAATTTGTTGTATAGTAATATATGAATGTGTGTATTTGGGTGTGGGTGAACCTATGTGTTTTCAAAGATTTACTTTGAAAGTAAATAAATAGAGATTAGAAAATGAGCAAGAAGGGTGAGGTGGTCTAACTTGGTCTCACCCTGAAAAAGGCAAGAATTGGTGATTTCTTTGTAATCACAGTAAACCAGTGTTTGTGAAAGGTACTGAATGAATATTATGATTGTTTTGTCTAAGTTCTATGCAGGCAGAAAGCATGGAGTGTGGAGAAGGAAGGCAGATTCTATACTGTGGGTAGGGCACATATTTCCTCTAAAGGTGGTGGTTTTCCATCAGCAATCATCCTTGAGCCTGGAGAACTTAAGGAGCTTTTTGCAGTGAGTAAGAGGATATAGTCAAAAACATTCTCCCTACAGGATGAAGATAGCAGGCCATAGGTTAAGTAACAAGATTGAGTTAGCAGGAAACCTCCTGTGTAGTATCATGGCCCACAGATAACTAGTATCTAGGAAATCTGATCCTGTCAGTTCATTATTTAAATCCTTCCCATGCCTTCCACTGGGAGAGAGCTTTGACTAGATACATACTTTCTCTAACAGCTGAGGCCTCATTAGGAGGCCATGGGTGTGATTGCTTGAGGTTTAAGCCTTGAGTCAGGATTTCAGTGAGAAAGAATGAGCAGAGGGTAGATGCTTTGAAGGAAAAACTTTAGGAAGAAAGAAAGAAAAAGGCAATGAAAAATGTTGGAACAAGGCTCAGTCCTTGCAAGAGCTTGTCAGTTTGTCTCTACATGACAAGTCAAATCCAGAGGCATTTGATGCCATCCTTTGCCCTTCTTCTCTTAGAATTTTTCCCAGTCCAAAAAGTTGGGCCCCTGTAGCCATCTTGATACTATGTGATGATTGGGGCATGTGCAGACAACTCACATGAGCTGAGTCAATCAAATTCATTCTCTCTGGAATTTAGCTGGTAACCCAGAAGCTGGAAGGCGGTAAAGCCAGAAAGTGGGAGAGGCCACTTTATGACATTAGTCTGGATTCTCAGATGGAACAATATGCTTTAGATGCTTAGGGGGAAAAGATAGACAAGTGACAATCTGTTCCCGTTTAGCTGTATGGAGTGGGTGCCTGTATTCCTCTTGACTTTTCAGTTGCTGGCTCCTCCCTCATGAAGTCTAGCTCATGATTCTGGTTCTTAATCCTATGAAATTATTCCTGGGTGTTTGAAATAGAATACTTTTTGCTGGTCTGAATAGTTTCATACATTTTGTAAACCCATAATGTTTAATTAGGGTACAATTTATGATAGACAAGGAGGCAGGATTCACTTCCAAATCTCGTTTGCTCACTCAGAAGATTCTATTCTTGCTAATACCTTTATGTGATCCTCTTGTGATATGCTAATCAATATATTGTCCAAATAAATACCAGGAGGCTTCATTGTCTACTCTCTGTATATTATAACACTCATAGAAACTATAGTCTGAGTCCTTAAAACTGAACAGAGTTTACTTAGTCATAAACCAGTGAAGTTTATTTAACATGGCCGTGGGCAGTCACATTGTTTTTAACTAGAAATCTTCCTAAAACACTGTTTTGTTTTCCTCTGTATCCAAAAATCTCTCAATTAAGACCTCCTCTAAAATTTCTCTCTCTGTCTCACTGCCATGCCAATATTTACCCACCATCATTTCCACCACTGCTGTCTTCTACTCTTTGGAGACAAAGTCATCTCATGAAGCCACATCAGGACTTTTTAACAAGCACCAAGATTTCCTAGCTCTGTGTACCCCTTATTCCTTGCTCTCCACAGGGGTATCTATAAAACATAATTCATCTATATTTCTTGAGGCTTAGAAGACCTGGGGGCTGTTCATAGTGGGAAGATGAAGGGAAAAACAAACAAACAAACAAAAAAAAAAAAAAAAAACGAGGCCTTATCTGCAAGTGATCATCCAGTAGGAAGAGGGATAACAAGACCTCTTGCTGCCCATCCAAAAATCCAGCAGAGAGGTAAAAATAAAAATTAGTTAATTAAAGTGTCAGAATGAACAATCTGCCCTGTTGTAAATTCTTAGGAGCTTTCCATTAAATCCTATTCCCCTAAACACTGATAAATTCAGATAGGAAAAAAACAAAGTTTTATTATTCAATTAGTAGAAAGCATCTCTCCATGACATGAAACAAATATCTGGTGTATTTCAGTGGACTCTGAAAGGAGGAGTCACATTACAGTATGTCACAGTATATCCACTTTCTGGTGGATATTTCACAGGGTGATTATCTGATGGTTCATCTTATGTGTCAAGATGACTGGGCCATAGGGAGCCTAGACTTTGGCCAATGTTATTCTGGGTGTTTGTCTGTGAGGGTGTTTCTGAATGAGATTAATCTTTGAATGGGTGAGCAAAGCATATGGCCCTCCCTAATGTGGGTGGGCCTTGTCCTCTCCATTGGAAACCTAAATAGAACAGAAAGGCCAAGGAGGTGGGAAAGTCTATTGCCTGACTCCTAGGACTGGAGTATCCACCAGATCTCCTGGTTCTCAGGCTTTCAGACCCAGACTAGGGTTGCACACTGGCTCTCTTAGGTCTTCAGCCAATTGAAGACCTTGGGAGTATTCTCTCTCTCTCTCTCTCGTTCTCTCCATATATAAATGGTTCCCTATTTTCAATAGCTGGACTTATGATCTTTCAGAAGTAACCCCATTGTAAGTTGTGGAGCATCTAGATTTATGATGGTTTCAACTTATAATTTTTTTTTTTCAGTTTTTGCCCGGGGCTGGGTTTGATCCCACCACCTCCAGCATATGGGGCCAGTACCCTACTCCTTTGAGCTACAGACGCCCACCCACGACTTACAATTTTTTGACTTTATGATGACTTTGTTGGGATAGTAAATGCATTTTTGACTTACAATGGGTTTATCAGGATGAAGCCCCATCATAATCCAAGGAAGTCACATGCATACACATACACACACACACACACACACACACACACACAGATATTTCTATATATGCACATATATTCTGTGTATCTCTTTTTATTTCTTTTTCTCTGGAGAACACTGACAAGTATAGACTAAGAGAAGGGCTTTGCGTAGGGCCAGAAGTGAAGGCAAGCAAATCAATGAAATGAGTACAGAAATTAGAAGCAGAGGTATTATACACAGCTAGACTTATTTTAGAATCTGACCCTGTCATCTGCCAGCTGTGTGACATTGGGGGCAATATTACTTAATCTCTCCAAGTCTTTATTTCCTTGTCTGTAAAATGCAAACCATAATAACTTCCTGGATTAAAGGGCAACTGTGAACATGAAGTGGGATTGACATATCCATTTACTTGGCATGGTGCTGGACTTTTGGCAGGTACTTGATGAGTGGTTAATATTATTACTACTGCTGTTGTTATTATTACTACATATTCTTGAGAAGAAGTATCAGAGGCCCTCAGAGAACCTTTATTTTCTTCTTCTGCTTACTCAAAGGAAGGTTCATCTTCCATCTCTGGGTTGTTGGTGAAGCCCTAATAGCTCCCACCTCCCTCTCTTCCCTGGACTCCCAAATCTGGTGTCCCAGAAGTCCCAGGAACTGAGGCGCGCACTTATCCTTCAACCACATTGCTGCCTGATACACACAAGCTGCTGGAGGCACACACTTACCTTACACCCTCCCTTTCTTCCTTTTACTCAAAGACTATTCTCAGGGTCTTGATTTTAAAATTATTTTATTACTTGATTCTAGGAAGAGTAGATACCACCAAAAACATGACCCAGGGGAACTGACTGACACCTTTTGAAGTCACATTGTTCTCACAGCTGTGGTCTGAGGTCTGTGGTTGCCACACAGAGATGGAAAAAGACGGTATTTATAATGTGTCTAGGAAAGTGCCTGGCACATAGCAAATGCTCAATAAAGAGTAGTCATGACAGCCCCAAGGTGTGGGATGACTTGGTGATGACTCCAATGTCCCAGTACCACACACATCTCCCTGTATGGAGGCCTTGGCCCTCATTTCTTTCTTAAGCTCTAGTTTTCTGCTTGAATGTGGAAGTATTTACAAGTTTCCTGCCTTTCCTCCCTCTCTCCCATCCTTCATGCCTTCCATCATTTCTTTATCATTTTTTCTTACTATTTTTATAGATCTCATTCTTTTCTTTTTTCCTCTTCCTTCCTCCCTCTCTTTTCTCTCTCTCTTTTTTTGCTTTTCTCCTTCCTTCCCTCCTTTTCTTCTTTCTCTCTTTCTTTCTTTTTATGATTCTTCCTGAAATTTTCTTTTCTATATTTTCTCTACCCCTTTGTTCCATTTTTCTTCTCCCTTCTCTCCTTTCCCTGCCTCCCTGCTCTATTTCTTTTTTTGATTAGTTTCCTTTGCTTATTTTTCTTTCATCTTTTTCTGTTATTCTCACCTTTTCTACTTGTCATTCCCTCCCTCTCTTTCTTCTTTCACATCTAACATGGCCATGTTTTGTGCTAATAACCAAGGAAAGACAAAAATTACATATGAACCTTTTCATAAAGAATCTCATATCTTCACAGGAAAGCCAACCACCCCCCCCAAAGAATGAAAAATAGAAAGAATAGGGGAATTCAAGTGAGACCCCCCCCCCAGGAGTCTCACTTGGTCCGGGATTGCCCAGACATCTTCCACTCCTTTTTTCGAAGCTTGGCTCGCTCAATTTTTCCTGTGATAGTCTTGGGCAGGTCCAAGACAAACTCTATCTGTTGGAAAAATCAGATCAATCCAAGGTGAGTCATTTGTGACCATAATGGGATTGAATTTCTCAGCAGAACTTTTGTACGGTGAGGGGAAGTTGTTGAGACTAGAGGTTCTTTAGAGTAACCCCTTCCTTTACTCCTGTGCAATAAGAAGCTTGAAAAAGTGCTCTGGAACAAGAACAAGAAGAGAATGGCTAGAATTGGACACAAATGTCTAGTCAACTGGTATTTGATACACTCTGGACAGAGGAGAGGCAGCATAATAAACACACCATGATGCAGTGGTCAGACACTAGAGCTTCAACATCAGACTTTCTAGATTCCAGTCCCTCTTCTACCATTTACCTGGCTTTGCAAAAGTCTCTTGGCTTTCCTAAGACTCATTGTCCCCACTTAGTTAACTGGAGGATAATAACAACCTCACTAGGTTATTGCAGGGATGAAGAGATATGCAGACTAAGTTCTTCATACAGAGTAAGGACTCAAAAACATAGCTGTGATTATTAATCTGGGCTAGAGAGTAGAGATCTAAGAGTTAGTGATACTTGGTTTTGAATTACACCTCAGTCACTTCCTATTGATATGCCCTGGGCAAAACTATAAAATCTTTCCAATTTCACCTGTTAAAAGGAGTGTCTAAAGTTGAGGATCTTTCATCTCTAATATTCCTGAATCAGAAGATGTAGATGGTTAAAATTTCTTCAAGTTTTCAGTTATATAAGTCAACTTGCCACAACATTGGTTTAGGAGTCAGATGGCTATGGGTTTAATTAAAATAATAGCAATAGGGGTAGTGCCTATGGCTCAGTGAGTGGGGCACCAGCCCCATATTCCAAGGGTGGCAGGTTCAAACCTGGCTCCAGCTGAACTGCAACCAAAGGATAACTGGGCATTGTGGCAGGTGCCTGTAGTCCTAGCTACTCGGGAGGCTGAGGCAAGAGAATTGCTTAAGCTCAGGAGTTGGAGTTTTCTGTGAGCTGTGTGATGCCACAGCATCTACCAAGGGCAACAAAGTGAAACTCTTCCTCAAAAAAAGAAAAAACAAAAAACAAAAAACAAACAAACAAAAATAATAGCAATAGGTGTACTCATATGGAAAAAGTATCTTCTTAGAAGTTGAAGCAAAAAGTAGTTTGTTCAAACCACAATGGAATGGAGTAGGGAGTCATAAACTGTGGCCTGTAGGAAAAATACAGCTAGCTTCCTCTTTTTATAAATAAAGTTTTATTGAAACACAGTCATATCTATTCATTTAGGAATAGTCCTTGGCTGCTTTAGCATTGCAAGGGTGAAATTGAGTAGTTGCAAAATATTTAGTATTTGGCCCTTGTTAGGTAGATGGAGGATAGAAGGAAGCCATTGGTGGGAAGAGTTTAGGTTTAATTCTAAGAAGGAAGCTACTCTGCTTATCTTGAAGAAAGAAGCAGGAGGAACTGGGTATGCCTCATAGAAGGAGGGGAATGTGGAAAGACTACTGCCTTGGGAATTCTAGAGGAGACTTGTGGAAAGAGACACTCTATTGAGGATATCTGAGTAACAAACTGTATACTATGTGATAGGACCATTCCATTTGACCTTCCAAAATACAGTAGAGCCTCTATAGTTGACTACCTCCCTTAAGTTGACCTAATTTTCATAGACCAGGCATGCACCACATGTACTCATGGGAAGTTCCTTATGTTGACTCCATATACCGATCAGTTTGTCACAATCCCTTGCTTGGTCAATTTACAAAGGTTCTACTATATCAACTATGATTCAAAATTCGTAATATATTTGTTATGATTGGATTTTCAGTCTCCTTTGAAAATACATATTAAATTCTCATTATGTGCCAGTTACTCTTCTAAATGCCTGAAACCTTACAAATATTAACACATCCTTAACAATATGTTAAGGAGTAATCAACATCACTATTCCAATTTTATAAATAAGTAAACTGAGGAGCAGAAGGATTACTGAATAAGTAAGTGGTAGGAGTGGGTTTTGAACTCAACAGTCTGATTCTTGAGCCTGTTCTTTGCTACCTCCCTATCAGTGTGAGGCAGAAGTCCATGTGGTGGGGGCTTTGACATGCAGTTGAGATCCCTTGCATGGGGATAAAGAACTCTTCACTGCCAGAGCCCTTTGGGGATTGTCTCAGTGAAGGACATCTGTTTTGTTCAAAGTCACACCCCTTCCTAGGATAGTCTGCATCCATGGCTGAGCTACATGAGACTATAAAGGCCCATTCCCCTCTTCCTCCCTGATTCAAGACAACATTTAGGGTTGTCCTTGCTTCAGAACTCTCCATGGGATTGGTTGAGGTTCCCGTTGAGGTTCCCATTGAGATTGAATCACAGTATGTAATATTGCTTCCTTTACCTTTCCTTCCCTTCCCTCAAGTGGTGATCCCCAAATTGTCCCTAATACACCTCTTACATGCAAATCTCCTTCCCTGGGGTCTGCTTCTCAAGAATAAGATGACTATGATGACTAGCTCATGCTGAGTAAGGGCATCTGGGCTAACTAAGAATCTAAGGGAATCTAAGCTTATCATGGTTACTCTTAATTTCTATTCCAGATTCAGAAATATTTCTTTCTTTCCCTGTGATAAGTTCCTATCTTGTACCTAAAACTAACAGCTGTGTGCTCCTGCCATGCCAACTTTCATGCTTCAGCTCCCTGCTCTCCAGTGCAAAAACAGCTGAGAACAGGTATAGTGGATGCCATGCTTTTTGTCTTTTCTGGTAAAAACACTTCCATTTTCTTATGAGGAACCACTCATCCTTCACTTCATCCAAGGTATGGAGCAGGCCTTTCTCTCCCATCCTTCATGTACTTTCTCTAAGGATAACCACATGATTTATAACTGGCCAATCAGAAGAGTTTTTTTCCCCTTGGCTACAGGGATTGGTTTAGTAACGGGCATGTGGTCCAGTAAGAAACAGCCAAGAGACTTTTGCTGAAGTCTTTCAGAAAAAGCATGCCCTTTTTCTATTGGAGTTTGCTAAGCTGCTAAGAATGTATATTTACATCTGATGGGGTTATAAGAGAAACCATTTCAAGAAATGAAATCACTACAAAAGAGGGAGAGCCAAAGGTGAAAGAGACATTCCTGACCTCATCATATGAATCCTTGGGACTCATGATGAAAGCTTTACCCACCCCCGGACTTTTCAGTTGTGTGAGCAATACATTTCAAGTTAGATTTCTGTCACTTGCAACTCTTATAATCCTGAATATTATAGCAAGATCACACTTCAAAGAGCAGAGCTATAGGACAGCTATTGGCTAGAACTTGTTCCCTTGGAAGCATTTGACTTTTAGTTCAAAGTCAAAGACTGAGGTCATTTTTCAGGCATCAAGATTGGCTACTGGATTATCTTTTTGGACTTTCTTAGTGATAATTAGAATAAAAATTATAATTAGAGGTGTCATGTTCATCCTGAAGAAGATAATTATAATAGGAGAAACTTCTCTTCTTTCCCAACTTTGGGAGATATAGGAGCCCCAAAATATTACCTTCCTTGGGTATTTGTATGGGGCTGTCACTGACTTCACATGCTGCTGTAGCTCCTTGGTGAGCTGGTCTCGGTCATGGGACAGGAACTCTGGGGCCAGGACCACAAATGCTTTTACCACCTGCAGCAGGGATGATGGCCGATAAAGAAAGGATTATGTAGTTGTCTCCTGGGACAATGTAAAGTCAGTGTTAAGACTTCCACCACAGTTACTATCTTTATATCTCTTCACTTGTACCTCCTAACACCCAGGTGAAGGGAAAGGGAGAAACTGGGATAAGAATTGCTGAGGCTCCAGCTCTATCTCAAGCAGTGTCCTGGATGAGCAAGTAGGACAATAGATTGAGACCTGGCTCACTGCATAATCCAGGGACAATAAATTTAGCCTGATGGGAAGAGAGTAGACACAGGGAGAGAAGTGAAGAAAAAATAAAAACTGGGGACCATAACTCTAAATGATTTAATTTCTCCAAACTTTGGTTTACCCATCTGTAAAATGAGGATAAAATTGTCATATTTAATGCATGAGAAATAAAATGAAATCATATACAGCAGGACCTAGTACAGAGCTGGGCATGGAGGGCTTTCTCAGTAAAGGATCCCCTATTGGCCTTATTTGCCTGGTGGCTCTCATGACTTCTTTTGTGTTTGTTCAATACCTGCCAGAGGTACAATATTGCCAAACTTTAACCCTGCAGAAATATAGTAGGATGTTTATCCAGGCCTCCCACCTTGACCCTTCCCTACACACATACTGAGCTCCATTAGACTCTCCCTGGACATCTTTATTCTTCCCCTTATTTTCACTGTGAATCTCATGTCTCAAGGGCTGTATCTCTTGACTTAAATCCTTCCTCTGTTCTTCTGGTTAGAAATCAAGATTCTAATTCAAATGCCAAATGGCAGGATGGAATCCCTCCAGCCCTATAATAATGGCTCTTATATGGTGGTTATTATGTGCTATGCCTTGTTCCAAGCACTTAACAAATATTAATACGTTTAATTCTCCCAACAACCCCTAACCTTAAAGATAGGGAAACTGAGGAATAAAGAGGCTAGGTAGCTTGCCCAAGGTCACATAGGTAGTAAGTGGCAGGGCCAAAATTTGACCCCAAGCTGCTGAGCCCCAGAGTCATGTTCCTAGCAGCCATTCTACCCTTTCCTGTGCTTCATATCCAAAGCACCTCCCCCATACACACACAGCTGTTCCCCATCACCTCTCCTCGGACAGGATCTGGACTGCTGACTACAGCTGTCTCAGCCACAGCGGGGTGCTCCGTCAGTGCATTCTCTACCTCTGATGGCCCAATCCGGTACCTGCAGAAGAACTTGTACTTCAGAGAAGACTGGACAACCTAACCTGTAGGCCATTCCCAAAGCCTGGAACCAGCCAGAATAAAGATCCAGATTACTCTTCCCAGACCCAGGCACCAAGCTCACCCACTGGAGTTAATGATATCATCTGTCCGTCCCATGAACTGGAAATAGCCATCTTGATCCTTGATTCCTCGGTCTCCCATGAGCCAGAAATCTCCTCGAATATTGTCTGCTACCGTCTGGAGATTGTTCTGGTAACCACAGAAATTCAGAGTTATTTTGCCCACAAAGCCAAAATCCCCTGCCCCAGTGCTGCCATGAAAAGATGTACAGGTGTGCATTTTGCAACCTGAACAACTACATATGGTGGACCTGCCTTGAACCCGTCAACACCAGACCCCAGGGTAAACTAGATCTTCCCCCTTTATTTCAATCATTCCACCTATGGTCTCTCAGCTACTCCCCTGGGTCAAGCCTGATGGATAATACTGATGTATTCATTCATTCATGGTCTACAGCATTTCCCCCAGCTGATTCCATCTTCCCTTCAACAGACAACCTAATCCCTGCTCACTCCATGACACCTGTCAAGGGTATCAGCTGAATAAAGGCACTTTTCCTGGTTTCTTTATTAGATCTGAAATTTCTGGAGACATAGCAAGAATCCCCAGGGCCCTAACCAATGTGTACATCTCTACAATGACTAGGCCATGTCATTGTATGGTTCAATCACTATGCAGCTGAGGCACCTGTTGATGAGGCTCCCCTTTGTCAGTGCACTTTCACATCTTACTTAGGTACAGGGGTACGGGCTCCAGATTGGACGTTCAGTTACCAGGTTGGAAGGTCGCATAATGAATTCTTAACCTACCCTTCATTGGGAATACAGAAGTATTGAATATCACAGAGATCAAGAGGCTTGTCTGCAGCCAAACAGCTGTTATAAATGGTAGAGCTGAGACCAGAGGCCAGATTTCTTGACCACTAGTTTGACTTTCTCAAGGTTTCCATGCAGCTATAGCCCCTGTTCCATTAACTCTGTATGTGACCTTGATTAATCTGCCAAATCCTCTGAGTCTGTTTCTTCATCTGTCAAATGAGGGGAAGCTCATGCCTTTGCTACCTCACTGGCATGTGTGAACACAGTAGGCAGTGCAGAGGAAATTCTTGGAGAAGGGCATAGTGTGGCTATACCCTTATCTCTGAAGCTCAATTTTCCTTCTCCCTTACCTGTATAATGGGAATGATAATTTGGATCTACATCAATTCGTTTATTTAACACACTTTTATATAGCCAGGTTCTAAGTGTTTCACAATTATCAGTTTTTACATAGCCTTAATAATGCTATGAAATATCATGATATACAGCTTACAGATGAGAAAACTGAGGCATAAGAGATCAGTAACTTGCCCAAGATCATACAGGAACTAGTAAAGTAAAGGTTTGAATTCAAGTAAGCTAGGTCCAAAGACTTCACAAAGGTGGCTGGAAGGAGTAAATAAGTTTAGAGAATGCAAAGTGCTTTAGGACAGCACTCACCTTGTAGTATGCATTCGTAAATGTACTATGACTGGATTTGTTATTTAATTTTTTTATTAATTAATTTTCTCAAGGGTCAAAAGAGGTCTTCCTTGCCCATTTTCAAACAGTTATGGGCTTGAGTGAGTCTTATAATCTCTGGCCCACTATCCTCACTTGTTAGGTGATGTGGCCAGACACAAAAATTATCTCTCTCCGCCTTCCCAAGGTCTGAAGATAGAGACACCTCCAACTATATGGTAAAGTCACAAAGTGCGCCCCTTCATGGTTCAAAAGGATTTCTTTGGCATAGAGCATGGGGACACGTTAAGGTAGGGTGACCAGATTTTAACATCGGTAAGGTGGGACAACATGGCGGGGGGGGGGGGGGGGGGGGGGGGGGGGGGGGGGGGGGAAAAAAAGGGAAACTTTGTTAAGCAGTTCTCAGTTGCACTTCTCAACTAATTATTTGTTATTATTACAGTTTAACATTATAAAATTAACAAAATAATATAAAACTCATATTCTGGTGAAATAGTTACATGGCAGCCAAAAACCATATATTCCCTTCTTGTTCTCCTGCCCGTTTGTGCATTCTTTCAAAAATCGGGACTTTTTAAAAACGCTGTGGGACAAATTGTTGAAAAGCGGGACATCTGGTCACCCTAGTTAAGGGAGAGGGTAGGGCTTTCCTTGGGAGAACACTGCTGTCTGTGCTTCAGGGCAATAATATTGCTGGCATGAAACAGAGGGTTCTCCAGTGTGCAGGGCTAACTGGAGAAAGATACGACTTCCAGTGAGATTGTAATGACAGGCTGAGGATGGCAAGGGTGAAGAGCCAGTCTTTTTCTCCCTTGACCAACCAAGCTTTCTTGGACACCTGACACTCTGTGTTCCCAAATCTTGCTAATGCCCTTGGGAGGTTTGTAACTTTGAGTGTTGATCATCCCACTTAATTTCCCTGTCCCCATAGGGAAACATAAGAGAATAATAAAAGTTCCTCACCACATAGCCAGAGAAGATGCCTATGGGCTTGATGGGTTTGACCCTGAGGCCTATGTCTCCTTCTGTGCCAGGGGGCAGGACATTGCCCTTTTCATCTATGATCTGGAGGAAGAAGTAAATTGCAAAAATGACCCACACAACAGAAAATTCCTTGAATAGTAGCATGAGAGAGCTAAGTTGGTCAAACAGATGACCCTCTAATGAAGACTGAAAAAAACAACCAGAAACTAAGAGAAGCCAATAGCCTTAAACTCAAATCTCCAGTTTACCAGCCTGGGATGGTGTAGGTGAAGCCTCTTATAAAACTGGGGCAGATGAGCCTGGAAAGGTATTTCTGGCTGTAGTAGCTCAGGAAAAATAATAGCCTCCAGTTACTTGTGAGACTTACTTCTCCAGTGGACAGATTAAAATTCAAATCATGACTCTATTGTTTCATTAGCTGACTTTGAACAACTAAAGCTCTATACCTCGAAGCAGATGAAAATCTGTAAAAGGGAGACACTAAGAGCTTATTTCCCAGGATGTTTACAAGAACAAAATAGAGGCTCAGGAAAAGCTTATCATAGTGGGTAGAGTGGCAGGTAATTGCACATACTACCGAATAAATTGTTGTATTTTAGATACACACAATTATACACATAATCATGGATATACAAACAGGAATTCTATTTCTTTCCTTTTTTTGGAGACAGAGCCTCAAGCTGTCACCCTGGGTAGAGTGCTGTGGTATCACAGCTCACAGCAACCTCCAACTCCTGGGCTCAAGCGATTCTCCTGCCTCCAACTCCCAAGTAGCTGGGACTACAGGCACCTGCCACAATGCCCAGCTAGTTTTTGGTTGCAGCCATCATTATAGTTTGGCAGGCCTGGGCTGGATTTGAACCTGCCAGGTCAGGTGTATATGGCTGATGCCTTAGCCGCTTGAGCCACAGGTGCCGAGCTGGGAATTCTATTTCATGGAATTTACCTTTAAATAATAAGAGAATGGAGCAAAACTGTAAGTATCAACATATCGTTTAAGGTATTGTTTTTACAAGAGAAAATTCCGTTATTCGTTGGGCCAACCAAAGGCATAAAGAGTGGTGAGTTTGTACCATCTATTACTATTTACTCATAAACAATCATGCTATAGATTGGTATTTACTGACCTGGAAAGATGGTTACCCAAAATTTCATCATTGTTGAATGATAAAATTAAGTTACGAAATCTTATGTCATGATTCATCCTTATTTTTGTTTTTCTAGGGGAAAACAGTGATTCTCTCTGGATGATGATAATATAAATTATTTCCTATTTTCCTCCCTTGCTTCTCCTTCTCCCTCTCATTCTCTCCCTCCCTCCCTTCCAGTCTTCCTCCCTCTTTTCTATATAATCTTAGTATCTTTATTTTCTATTATTTTTAAGTCAATGAAAATGTAATAAATAAGTTACTGAAAAAACAGTTGTTCTCCCTATTTCCCCTCCCCACTTAGTGCCCTTAGCAAACCTGCAAGTCATAGTGGGGAACTGGTATTCCAATATAGCCTGGTTTGACCTTCATTGTCTTGGAAACTCTGCACGTGAGCCCCTGTGGAAAGCAGGAGATAATCAGTAAACCTCAGCAGGAGACACAGGTCATAGAAAGGAAAAAATAAAATAAAAAGAGATTCAGAAGAGCAGGTTCTGACCTTGCCACTGAGTTGGCTCATGTTTGGTGGTTCCCTCCCTCCCCACTCCCTGGATATTTCCTCTTCACTAGCACTACAATGCTGGGGTGGGGCACGTGGCTAAATTGTTCAGAAAGCAACTTGAGTGACTGATCCCTAGAGAGGAAGAACTAATGACCACATTACAATATCTTTAAGGGGAACCTCATTTTAATAAGAGACTATGGATAGACCAAAAGCCCTTTCAAACCATATGGAATTTGCAATCCATGAGGCCTAAAAGATGTTTCTTAAAATTATCTCCAATGGCAGGACAAGTTCTACTTGCAACCTGAAATGAACTCTCCCAATAGAGATGTTGGTGTCCTAAGAGACATACCCTAACTGTGTCCTCCTCTGGGTGGCTGGAAGTCTGTGTCATGACATGTTTGTCATAACTTCTCACCCATATACATAATGCTCTTCATGACTGTTCATACCACAGGGTCCCAAGAGCCCTCTATAAGAGTTCTGCCAAGGGGATCCATGAGCCAAAGAAGGATGAAGAGGAAGAGAGTGGAAAGGAAGAGGCAAGAAGTGCTGAGGGTCACAAGTAAGAAATGTTGGGAAAAGGAGAGAGAGCCCTGAGACCCCAAGGCTTCCAAGAAGATATCTCGTCAGGCTCAGGGGGCCTGAGCGGTTCCTCTTTCTGTCTATGGTTTCAAGCTGAGCAGTTAGCACAGTGCCTGATGACATGTTTTATGAACTCAGGTCTCTGCTAAAATATTTCTCCATCACAGAGAACTTTTTCCATCATCATGTCTGAATTACCCCCACCTAATCTCATTTCACTGGTTTTACTTTTTCCATCACATCTCTCACCACCCACCATGTCAGCTATTTCTTGGTTTCTTGTTTGTCTTCCCAGCTCCCATTAGAATGCAACCTCTGGAAAAGCAGGAGCTTTACCTGTTTTGTTCTCTGCTGAATTTTCAATACCTAGTGCTTGTCCCATTTTAGGTGCTTAATAATTATTTCTCAAATAAATAAATTATAAATTGTGGCTGATATTTTTATTGTCAATGAGATTTCTGAAGCCCAAAAGGTACACCCAGCCTATTGTGTTTCCTTGGGAACAGGTACCGTTTCTGTCTGGCCATAGCATTCTCGGATGTCCAGTCCTGTCTGAGCCTTCCACTTCTCCAGAGTTTCCAGAAGTTGACTCTCCCCTGCACTGAAGCAAGTCTTTAGGTGTGGGAACTTGTAACTGAAGAAGAGAGATAAGTGTTCCTCCTCAGCATCCCTGGAACAAAAGTCCACCTAGACATGGCACTGGGTTCTGATGGCTTTCACGATGGTGCTACCCATGTCAGAAAGTCAGATGGATGGGCATGTATACATGTGGGCAAGGCAGGAGAATGGACTCAGATGCTGTTACCAACCCCCCAAAGCCCTATCACCTGGAAAGGTCCTGTTGTAGCAACATCCGGAACACTATGGGGGCACAAAACAGGCTACTGATTGGGTAGCTGGATAGCACCTGGAGGAAGAGAAGCAAGTGAGACACTGGTAACCAGATCAGTTGCCAAACTTATTGGTATGCACTGTCATTACAGTTGTGGGCTATGGAGTTGGAGGGGTATGGATTCAAATCCTACCTTGTTGGCTGTGTCTGTTGCAGGCTAAATGAGCCCCATAATTCTCATGTACCATCAAAACACAAATAAAAAAGAAATACGTATCATATTATCAAAAAGTCTAGAACTAATTTGAAACATTCTATCAAATCCTGGCTACCTGCTTCTGCGAATGTAAGACCTGCCATCGCTGACATACCTAGAATCACATATCCTTTCAATTGTCAACAAGAGATCAGGCACTATAGCTAATTGGCCTCATGATCTTAGTGAAGTCTCTTAACCTTCTAGAACCAGCCTTAGAGTAATTATTTCCTGCCCTATTTTCTTGAAGATATTTTTGGCATATAATAATTCAGGTTAAAAAGTTCATTAAAAAGTTAAAAGTGTTCAACATTTCAAAAGAAGTGTTATTGTATAAAAAGGAGTGATGCTGAATACTTGCCATGCCCTCTGCTATCTCATTCTCAATAACCTCAGGGAGTGTGTGTACCATTATGCCCTTTATAAAAGGGAAACTATGACTCAAGGTTTAAGTAACTTGCCCAAGGTCACCTAGCCTGCAATAGGAGAACAAGTATTTGCAGCATGCCCTCTTCACTCTTATGCCATCTTCATCCCATGCTTTGCTCTGTGCACAATTTAATGCTAATCTACTTCCACGACAAGGCACTCATTTATTACCTCATGAATCCATTAGTCCCTCACGAGGCCCAATCACATTTTAAAGACCCCACCTCTTAATATTGTTACATTGGAGGGTAAGTTTCAACATGAATTTTGGAGGACATAAATATTCAAACCATAGCAGTCATTGAAGTGAAATGGCCAGAAAAAATGATTAATATGAGAGTATCATGCAAACACTTCCTTAAAGTGCTATTGATGAATGAAAGAAGCTATGAAAAATCATACCCTGTTCCTTATTGCTTTGTCTTACAGGAAGCACAACTTGTAGTTACCTACTTATCTGCTATACTTCTCACTCTCCTTAGTCCTTTTCCTCTTTACACTTGCAACCTGTATTTCCTAATGGGATTTATAATTGTACACAAGTTTTCTTGTTTGGTTTTGTTAACAAAAGCCAGTTAAAATCCTGTGGGAGGGAGGCAAAGTAAGAATTTGTTTGAAACAGGGAACAACAAAATAATTTGAAGAGAATCTCCTTAAAGGATTGAGACCACTCCTTACTTTTCAACTTTTGAAGATGTCATCTGTGCCTTGGTTCATTCTTGGGGGCCTCTGTTTGAGCCAAACAGATGTCTGTGCAATCCATTAACTGATACAGAGATCTGGAAGCCCAGCATGGCAATGACCCAACCCCTTCCTCACAATTAGAGCCCAACATAGGGGGTGTATCTTTGCTAGAAAATGAGGTCATTTTCATCGCTTCATTGTTCCAGGGTAATGAATAACTATAATTTATGGGTTTTACTTATTATGTGCTCCATCAAGTTCTATAGAAAAAAATCATATTTATTCTTCATAATCTCTTATAAATAATAGTCCTAAAGTGAAAATAATCCAGATGTTCACCAATGATAAGATGGGGAAAGAAATTGTAGGGGAAGGAAGCATTGAGGTTGGCAATACCCATCAAGGACAGTAACTACCATGGCTTCCAGTGCTTTGGCCAAACCTCAGATGTGTGGCCTCTTGGCCAGGAGCCTGCGGATTCATATTGTTGGAGCATTTGTTGTATCTCTGGGAGTTGCAGTTTTCTATAAGTTTGCTGTGGCTGAACCAAGAAAGAAGGCATATGCAGATTTCTACAGAAATTATGATTCTATGAAAGATTTTGAGGAGATGAGGAAGGCTGGTGTCTTTCAGAGCATAAAATAATTTTGAAATATAAAGAATTTCTTTGGGCTGATTTACATAGACATTTGTCACTGATCTGTGTTCCTGAGCTCTGGATATGAGTGATAAATAAACTATTAATAAATTAAAAAAAGAAATTATAATAGATTCACAGAATGGAATACTGTACAGCAATTAAAAAAAACAAACTTCTGATACACAAAACATGTGGACCAATCTCACAGAGAATCTCACACTCCACTTACATGAAGTGCTAGAAGAGGTAAAATTAATCTATGGTGATGGCGGTCAAAAGAATGATTAAGTTAATTGTGTACAGATACTGTCAGGGAATGATCACACGGGTGTCTGATATGAACTGAATGCTCCCCAAATTCCTTTGCTGAAGCCCTAATACTCAATGTTAGAGCTTCAACATGGTATTTGGAGTAACAATTTCATGAGATAATGATGAGGGAGCTCAAGTGATGGCATTAGCATCCTTACAAGAAAGGGAAGAGGTACCAGCACTGTCTCTCTCAACCACGTGAGAATATAGTGAGAAGGCAGTCATCTGCAAGCCTGGAAGAGAGAGAAGGCTGGCACCCAGATCTTGCACTTCCAGCTCCCAGAACTGTGAGAAGTAAACATCTTTTGTTGCAGCCCCCCAGACTATGGTATTTTATTGTTGCAGACCAGGCAGACTAAGACAGTATCTAACATAGGTAATTTTTTTTTTAAGCTGTAAACTTTTGACGACAACACCTATGCACTTTACCTTCAGTATGTGTGTACACTGCAAATAAAAAAGAAATACAATGTGTGCACACACACGCATGAACACACACACACGAGGGAGGTGCCATTGCCTCCAAGATTCCACCCTTCTATTTTGCAGGTGGTTCAGATGTCTATCTGATATCTGATCCCAGAGGAAGAGTCCATTAAATGTGTTTGGTGAACAAATGATTCACAATGCTTGTGTCCTGAATAGACTCCTTTTATCTGTATATATGTTTATCTCTTTCCTTGGACCATGAGGTCCGTGAAGTCAGGGACCCCTTCTAAGTACGCTATTTACCCATGTGGCTGGGATTTAGCAAAAATTAGATGAAATGAATTACAATAAATTGAAATAGGCAAAACTTGGGATCACTCTGGATCCTTTCTTACTTTTAGAATGACCACTGGGTCAAACTTATCCAAGTGATGTATAAATGCACATGCTCCTAATGACCACGGTTCCAGAAATGAGCCTAGGATGTTCAGTATCCAAGCTGTGTCTGATATAGTCCATATTACATCAGAGGTTTGCAGACCTGTCCAAAACCTGAGAACACAAACAAAACACATGTATATATATGTAAATTCATGCTAGGGTATATGGCCTGGGGTGTGTGTAGTGAGGAAGGAGTGTGTGAGTGTACATGTGTGTGTGTATCTGACTACGTTTGTGTAAATTTGTAGGAATGTGTGTAAGTGTAAGCAGGAAAGTTGTTCTATCCACACATCCAGTATCAAAAAGGGGTGAGTGCTTAGAAGATGTGACCCAAGTTGACATGACTTAGATAAATTGGGTCTCATTCTCTTTTTATCCCCCAAACAATCCTTAGCATGCAAAGAGCCACCCAGGAAAATTCACTAAGAAAAAGTATTTAAGTGATGAATATCTTAACAGGGGCCTAGCCCAAGTTCAAGTTGGGCTAAGTAGAACTTTGGTTTTCTTTTCTGCAAGCATCGTAAGTTGCCTGAGCACGGGCAAGGGTCTTATGCAGGGTGAAACTTATTTCTTTTCTCTGTGTAGGGCAGAATAAAAGGTATTGGGCCTGGCTTAAAGCAAGAACAACTTAGGCTAGGTATGAAAAACTTCCTTATGACTGGGAGTTGCCATAAAATGTGCCCTTTCTGGAAGAGGGTTAATACTTTCAGTTCTGTAGGGAAATGATATCAGAGCATATCAGAACCAAATTTGGATCTAATATCTTAGTTATATTTAAGTAATTTATCCCCCATCTTTTAGAAATTGGATTTTACTATCAAATAATTTTTACTAAATTGATTTTCTTGGCTTATAGATAGGATATTTAAATTTTCTTACTTTTTTGCCTTAAATTATTTTTCCATTTCAATAATAAAATTAACATGGGAGAAAGAATCTACTGGAAAAAAAAAAACCAAAGATCTGTAGTTATCATTGTAAGAAGACCTTGGCATGTTGTTTTCTGATTCCATAGATAGGGCTGATATAGCAATAGAAGAAAATATTGGACTAAAATTTTGTGATTCAGAAATTTTGAGATCTTGGTTGATCTAATTCATTCAATAATATTTTCCACTTTGCAAAGTAATTTGCTACTGACAAAAATGTGCTTTTGGAATGTGGGTTAGCATCAAAACAAATTATCAGCACCCCAAATGGCAAGACACTTATGAGTCTAGGGAACATGAATAGAAACCTTGTGTGAGTAGGCAAACCTGGAAGAGAGTTTGAGATCCAATGTTAGTTGTAACAGAAGCGTCCCATTGAAGATCTCTGGATACCTAAGCATGTGAAGCCATATGCCTTTCAGGCCTTCTTCCCAATTGTCTTTCAGAAGCCCAGCCCAGGAAGATAGGATCTGAACTTAGATAAGTCTCCATGTCTGGTCATGTAGTTCACTGTAGAGTGAGAGGGCTCTGCTTACCCAGAATCCATCTTGCTCTTGAGGCCCAGGCTCGAGTGGGAGTGTTCTGCCATCTTGGGAGGGCCACTGGTCCCACTAGTGAAATAAAAGGCAAGGGCTTCCTGGCTCCCAGTGTCCACACAGCGATGAGTGGTGGATGCCTCTCTGAAGGAGACACAGATGGTCACTCTCTCAGATTTAGCCTGGACACCAGATGTCACAGTGATCCATCTTTCCTTACCTTCTCCCATGCTGACAATGGCAAATCAGTAAGCCCACTTCAGACAGGAGACTTTGGGGAGGTTAAGATCATGAGATTCTGAGTCATCTATACTTGCATTTGAAAACCACTCAGGTTCGGCACTTTGTTAACTATGTAGCTTTGGACTAGTTATTTAACTTCCTTGAGTCTCATTTTCAACATTTGTGAAGTGAGAAAATAATACCTATCTCATAGAGGTATTAATGAGAAAGTTAACTTTACTACCAAAGAAATGAGCAACCTGCTTAGCAAGAACTCAGTCAATGCTTATGTAATTATTGTTAAAAGCCCTTGCTTACCAAGTGACAGGAGGTATATAATTAGTATGCATTTTCCCAGTACTTCCTTGGCCCCATCGTCTATCCTCTGGAAGCACCCACAAATCCCTTGGACATCTCCTCTAGAGTCGTGAGTTTGGACTCAAAGTCGATTTATTTCTTTGATGTTACTTTAAATACCATGACATTAGAAAGGAAAAGCTGAAGTTCTCCCTAAGATTCCCAAAGGTAAGTGTTCCTAATGGAGGACAGTGAGACATATAACAGGGAAACTCACTCATCCTGCCAGTTTTGCTATCAACTTTTGAAGGACACAAGGAGCTTGCTTCCTCTGTCCTTGAATAGCCTGATTTAAGAACATGGAAGATGGGAAGAGTCTAGAAACACAGCATATCAGCTATCCTTTGGGTTTACCTCCTATGCTCTTGGCCCTACCTCTGATTTGAACCATGTTGTAGTGAATAGTTCTGGGTAGGCTTCAAACTACTTGGTAGTAACACCATCTTGGTTCTAGAGATACCACAAGTGATTCACTTTGTGCCCCAGGGTTTGTTTGTTGCCACCGTAACATGGGACTCTGATCCCACTCTGCATTGCATGAGTTTACAGTTCTTAAGCTTGGGGCAGATGATGCCTGCAAGAGAATCCTCAGCCAATGGGGATTCTTGTCAGTTCTTGTCAGTCCTTTAGTGAAAAATACTGGGAGGCATGCTCCTCAGAAGGTCACAACAGATCAAGCCTCATATAGCCCTTCCCATAACTCAATAAAAACTCCTGTATTAGCTTTTTTTTCTCCCATGCGTCACTCTCCCTAGTCCCACATTCTACTTCCTGGACTTCTCAAATAAAGCATCTGCATGTAATTGTTTGGCTCAATTCCCAATGTTGGTGAAAACCCAGGCTGAGGCATGTAGATACTCACTTTAATAGTGTCTTGAAGTTTAGCCACCCATCCCGGTTTTTCTCAGACACCAGGAGCTTAATTTCCAGAGAAGGACATTTAGGTGCCACCATGTCCACTTCTTGGGCAACTTCATCTCCAGCCACGATGGCCTTGGCCTTAGATGACTGAAGCCTATATAGTATGTCACCAGATTTCATCTGGATAGTCCCAGGTGAGAAGATAAGGCCTAGAAAAGCCAAATGGCTTAGAGAAATGGAAGGAAGGGAAGTCTTTGTCTCTAGGGAAGCCTGATTATCAACATCCAGTGGGAAGCAAATGAGGAAGGGGAGGGTGGAGTAGTGATGACTGATGAGGAGTATTGATAATAAGGGAAGTAAGGATCAGGCATTGAGACCAAAGAAAGAAACTGAGTTGCCTAATGTCACATTGTTGACAGTCTAAGACACATATAATCCTTCCCACTCACTCCTGCCCTTCAAAATGCTATATCCTGCATTCTCACTTGGTAATTAAAATCATGAGGAAAGGCATTTGGGATTGTCTATGGTCCTGAAATGTCTTTGTGCTCTAGGTATACTGTGCCTCCCAACCCAGGGATACTGAATGCATTTTCTTAGGCAAGAGTGCTTTTAGTTTATTATATAAACCACACAAGACAGACAGACAGACAGACAGACACACACACACACATACACACACACACACACACACACAGAGTAGTTGTATATATTCTGGGAGTACAAAGTGGTGTTATGATATTTTAAAACAATGTAGGATGATAAAATTAAGCTAACTAACATCTGTCACCTTAAATATTTGACACTTTTGTGATAAGAACATGAGAGATTTACTTTCTTAGTGTTATTTAAATGTATAATACTCAATTATTACCATGCTGTGGAATTTATCTAAAAACATCAGGTTTATTCCCTCCATATACCTGAGGTTTTGTACCCTTTGACTGTTACCTCTCCTTTTCTTATTCTTGTTTATTATTTTGATGAGTCTCCTATAAGTTTTTAATCTGGAAAATAACAAGATTTATGTTTCACCTTTTATGAAGTTGTTACCAAATTCTGCTCCATTTGTTAAATAGTTTTTAAGCCTGACCCCTTTCTTCCCATTATCAACACAAGGATTCTGACCACACATCTGGACACACCCTCCAATGTCTCTCCATCATAATAGTCATATTAAGTCAGACAGATAGAAGAACGGACATATCTCTTCTGAAGTGGGTTCTCCTTCCCTTCAGGGCATAATCTCTCAATACCTTTCTCTTATGGGTTGTTTACTCTTTTCATGAAGTTCCAAGAACATAAAACTGGTTCAGATGCCCGGTTGCTCTTACCTCCTGGTCACATTTATATCTTCCATCTTAAGGCCCCCACATCCAGTTGTCCTCAGCTGGTGGTGTGTGTGGGTGCGGGGGGTTTAGATGGGGATGGACTATGTGAGAGAAGTTTGGAGTATAGTTTGTGAAGGAGGATGCTAGAGCTCCTTGAGGCTCTTTTAAAACTCTTTATATCTCATTTTCTATTTTCTTTTTTCTTCTCCTTTTTTTTTTTTTTAGACAGAGTCTCAAGCTGTCACCCTGGGTAGAGTGCTGTGGCATCATAGCTCACAGCAACCTCCAACTCTTGGGGTCAAGCAATCCTCTTGCCTCAGTTTTTTCTACTCTTAGTAGAGACAGGGTCTTACATTTTGCTCAGGCTGGTCTTGAACTTGTGAGCTCAAGCAATCCACCCGCTTTGGCCTCCCAGAGTGTTAGGATTACAGGTGTGAGCCACCACACTCAGCTTCATCATTTTCTTTTAAAGGTTGATGAGTCTCAAATTCCTATCACTATCTCAGAACTTGAGTCGATTTTTTATTTTTCACTATTCCTTGAATGTCATATAGACACCCTGACTCAACATTACCAAGATGAACTTGTCACCTTTTCCTAACACACCCATCATACCTCTTTTATTGCATGTCCCTAGGTACCAAAGTGTCTATGACTTATCTATCTCCCTGGCTGTCTTCCTAAAAAAAAAAAAAAAAAAAAAATTCTGTTATCAGTTCCCCCAATTGTCTCTTTAATCCATCCGCTTATCTCCATCTCCACTACCTCAAATCAACCAAATTGAAGCCGCCATTGTCCTTTGTCTTTTCTCTGAGATTTCTGTCCCACTTGTGCCTTCTGCATCTCATTCTCTATTTAGCATCCAGCATGATGTTTCACAGAGTGATTACATCACTTGATCCATCAATGATTTCTCATTCTCCACTAAATAAGCATCTAGAAGTCTCACCATGGACCATAAACAACCTCCCATCTTTACAGGTTCATTCTATCACCACTACTTTCTTCTTTGCTGCCTAGATTCTAGATATCCTTTCAGGGTTTCTCATAATTTTCAAGTTTCCTTCCCCTCTGTCTTCATACATGCTATTCCCTCTGCTTAGCACAACCATCTCTGGCTCCTCTCTGGGCCAAAATCTACTTATCCTTCAGATCTCAATTTAAATATCACTTCCCTGGAGACTGTGACTCTTCACATTACTTAATTCAGGTCTCCTTTTAGATGAGAGGTTGGCAGACTTTTTCTGTAAAGGGACAAATAGTAAATATTTTAGGTTTTATGGGCCAGATGTTTTCTTACCCAACTTCTCAAGCCTGCCATTGTAGTTCAAAAGCAGCCACAGATAATATGCAAATAGGCTGGCTGTGTTTTAATAAAGCTTTATTTATAAAACAAGCTGTGGACAGGATTTGGTCTGCAGGTCATAGTTTGCTAACTTCATTTCATTAGTTTCTTATAAAACTCTTCATGCCACTTATCAAAATGGTGATTAAAAATTACATGTACAATAAATAGTTTGATAATTTTTCCCAAAGGTCTATAAGTTCTATGATTACACAGATTATGTTTTGTTCACCATGTATATCAGCAGCCTCTTATGCTTAGGGCATAGTTTGCTTTGGTAAATGGAGAAAAGGTGATATTTTCCTGTGAAGAGGGACAGCATGCTCTGTGGAGGGAACTTCTTTGGGGAAAGGGTTTGCATTTCCCTAACATCAGTTTCCTTCACAGGGAGAAATTGCCCTATCCAGATGGGTGGTTACCAACCTGCTCGAGTACAGCCCAGGGTCACCAGCCACCACTCAGGTATGCGGGGCAGCACGACTGCCACACAGTCCCCACGCTGCAGGCCACAGGCCACGGAGAGGACGTTGGATGCCTGCTGGCTGATTTCACTCAGTTCTCTGAAGTTCCATTTCACTTCCTCCCCTTTGCCATTCACCCACCACAGGGCTGGGCTTGAGGGTCGCATGCCAGCCTGGGGGGAGAGAGGGCCAGCTGGTTATGGGGTGCTGGAACACAAACAGGAGGAATAAGTTCCAAGTCTTAGGACTGCCAAGTGAGTGCTTAGTAACCTGTTTGCTCTCAGGCCTCTCTCCCCCTGCCAATACTCTCTTTAAAAGTATTAAAAACTCAAAGAGTTTTTATTTATAGGGGTTATATCTATCAATATTTATCATATTAGAAATCTAGATTAGTGCTTACTTTGGCAGCATATGTACTAAAATTAGAAATCAAAATTGAGAATTTTTAAAGTGTGCTTTAAAAAATAACAGTAATAAACCCATTATATACTATCATGAATAAACTTTTTTTTAAATAAAAATATAGTTTACGAAACAAAAAACATGAGAGGAGAGGTATCATTTTATATTTTTGAAAATTTCTTTAATGTCTGCCTTAGAAAAACCTCTGGATTCTCTTATCTGCTTCTCCACTCACTATTTCTGGGTCACCCAACATGTACCTTCTGAAGAATGTCACTGCATACTTGTGAGAAAATTAGAGTGAAAATGGCAAATAACAACTTAGATGTACTTACATATTTATCTCCATGTATATATTTACTTATTTATTTTTTGTTTCCTTTTATCTTGTGGTAAAATATACAAAACATAAAATATAGCATTTTAATTATTTTTAACTGTACAATTCAGTGGCAGTAAGTACATTTGCACTGTTGTGCAACCGTCACCACCATCCACCTTGGGAACTTTTTCATCATCTGGAACTACAAGTCTGTCCCTATTACCAGTAACTTCTCATCCTCCTTCCCCCTTGGCCCTGGTGACCACCATTCTACTTCTGTCTCTATGAATTTGACTGTTGTAGGTATCTTGAATAAATGAAATCAAGTACTGTTTGTCCTTTGCATCTGGCTTGTTTCACTTAGCATAGTGTCTTCAAAGTTTATCCATGTTGTATGTAGCCTATATCAAAATTTCCTTTCTTTTTAGGGCTGAACAGTATTCCATTATATGTATATGTATTTGATTATCTATTCATCTGTTGATAGGCATTTGTGTTGTTTTGATCTTTTACCTCCTATGGATGAAAGCATTATCAACATGGGTGTACAAATATCTCTTAGGGACCTGGCATTTCATTTTTTTTTGATATATACCTGGCGTTGGAATTGATGGATTATGTGGTAATTCTTCTTTTTAATTTTTTGAGGAACTATCATATTGTTTTCCATAATAGCTGTACCACTTTAAATACCTACCAGCAGTACATATGTATATGTATAGTATATATAATAGTACATATATACATATGTATATAATTTGCTGTATTTCAAAATTTTTCTCCACCACAATTATACATACAACTTAGAGGTAACATGAGAGTGTCTGTTTCCTCACAGCCTTGCCAAAAGAGTGTGCTGTAATAAGATAGGTTTAAAAAATATTATTTAAACAGTTTTCATTTGCATTACTCTTAGCACAGGGGTGGGTGAGAATTTTCTCTTTTGTTTAATGGCCATTTGAGTTCACTTTTTAATGAATGACCTGATCATGTACTTTGCCCACTTTTATTTTGGAGCCTTTATTTCTAGGAACTGTTTTTGTATTAGGGATATCAACTCATTTGCTGTCATATGAATTGGATATTTTCCCCCAGCTATTTTTTTTGCCTGGGGCTGGGTTTGAACCCACCACCTTCAGCATATGGAGCCGGTGTCCTACCCTTTTGAGCCATAGGTGCCACCCTCCCCCAGCTTTTATTAGGTTTTACTTTGCTAGTGGTGCTGTTTGTCAATGGAGGAGAAGTCTGAAGGGTCACTCATGGAAGGACAGAGAGAAAGACAGCTTTTTTTGTTATTTATGTAACAATATTTATGAAATAATTGTTCATATAATTCAAAATTGTCAATCATGGAAGTAAGGGTCCTCCTCAATATTGCAAGGAAATATAACTTTTAAAGAAAATACAGAAATCTAAATTTTTATCTGAAATTTTAAAATTTTAAAGTGTTGATCTGTTTTTCTTTTTCTTTCTTTCTTTCTTTTTTTTTTTGCAGTTTTTGACCGGGGCTGGGTTTGAACCCACCACCTCCAGTATATGGGGCCAGCACCCTACTCCTTTGAGCCACAGGTGCCACCCTTGATCTATTTTTCTTTTAAGACTACCCTGTACCTTGAACCAACTTTGGCCTAAGGGTCAGGCATTTGCAATCTCTAAGCTAGGGTTATTTTATGGTATTGGGAGTGCAAGACATCATCATAGTCATGACTTCCTTTGAACACCATTGTTTTAAGACCATGCTGGTAGGTCCACTCCTTCCTCTATCCTGGACAGGATAAGTCCTCTATCCTCCAGAAAGTTGCATAGGACTTCAGGTGAAGGCAACAGTGTATAAGCAGTAAATGAGTTAAAATTCCAGAAGCCCAGGGCTGGAAAGGAAACTCTGTAATTTCTGCTTCATCCTTTCTCTAACATCTCATCTTTGAGTCTTTTTCACAACCACTGCCTAGTGACCATCCTACTTGCACACCCCTGATAACCTCACATTCTGAGCTGAATGGCTCAGTCTTTGGTCAGTGCTGATTTACTGTTATCAAATTCAAACCCACCTCTTCTGTCACCCCAACCCATTAATCTTGGTTTCACCCAGGGAAGTCAGAACCAAGCATGTGCAGTATATATAGGCCAACTGTGTGTCAAGTGCCTGGGGGTTACCAGATGGCCCTTTCAGACTCCCATGACCTTTCTGCCAAGCTCATGCTGTCCTCCTCCCACCCCATGCTGCCTTTATGGTAGATGAGCATCTTATTCATAGCTTATTACAGACATAGTAAGTCTTTATTACTATACAATAAGACCTTATTACAATAAAGTCAGCCAATTTGTCTTGCTCTGTGCTGCTTTCCACCCCCTTACCGTCTCCATGTCGGCCCAGTGATCTATCACATCTCTAGCAAAGTTAAACTTGGCAGGAACTTCTTGGCGGCCCCACTGCACGGATGCCACTTGCCTCGTAATTATGTGAAGAGTATGGCTGGATGTCTGTTTACCCCATAGTGTGCAAAGTCCCCGAAGCTTCCACAGCCCATGCATTTTGAGACCTGTAAGGGAAATAGGAGACCTGGGTGAGTGCTTCTTTAATAGATTGCTCTACTACTCATCAGCTGTTTCAGGATATTAATCCCAATCTTACAGGGTCCTTCCTGGGAATTAATTTGGTATAGTTATGCGTGAAGTGGCACTCAGCATCTGTTTCAGTCTCCTTATGGTGTGCTATCCTCCAAAAGTACAACAGAATCCAGACTCAGTCTAGGGTCTTCAACACTACTGATGGTTTTGCAAAAGCCCAATTCTATGTAATAAATCCCTCTGTAGTTAACATACAGTAGGTAGTAAATGAGAGTGTTGCTCCCAACAATTTATTGCCTTTCTGAGTATATACACATTCATTTTTGTGTGTCTTCCTAGTGCAGTCTGGAGGAAGAGTATGATCCACCTCTCATAGACTTTCACTTGCTCATGTGATATGTATACTGTGGTCAATAAGATGTGAGTGGGTATCATTATGTGCTTGGTTAGAGACGCTTGCATTTGAGCCTCTGCATGAGAATTGCATATTCCAGATCAGTGATATACATCTTCAGCCTGGGGCCCAAAATGACAAGACAGGTGAAGTCAAGCTAAGCCCAGCATGACCACAGACCCACCTGGTTAAATGCTACTGAGATGTTCAGGATGTTTATTACCACAGAAAATTCTTACTAATACAAGTAGCATATATTTCTTTCTTTCTTTTCTTTTTAAATACAGGATCAGGCTCTGTCACCCAGGCTAGAGTGCAGTGGCAAGATCACAGTTCAATATAGCCTCCAACTCCTTCACTCAGACAATCTTCCTGCCTTGGCCCCCTGAGTAGCTGGGAATATAGATGCACTCCACCATGACTGGCTAATTTTATTTTATTTTTTTTTATAGACATGGGTCTTGCTATGCTGCCCAGGCTGGCCTCAAACTCCTAGGCCCAACAATCCTCACCTCAAGCTCCCAAAGTTCTGAGATTACAGGCATGAGCCATTACACTCAGCCTCCCATCAATTCTTTAAAACAAATCTTCACTGATATGTGTCAAATACTATGCACTTAGTGTGCAAGGCCTAACACAATCACTTTAGAAATTGCAGTTCTTGTAATTACTGTTTCCATATACATTGCTCCACAGAAAGTAGTTCCAGGGATGTATAGACTGTTATTTGAGTTACACCCTGTGAAGCCTAATGAGGTTGGAGAATTTAAGTCTAATGATGTTGGATTCAAGGAATCCAGCCAGTAGTTCGGTCAGTTTGCTGAATTTGCAACTTCTGTTGCAGCAGCCACCAGAATGCCCAAGGTCTCCTGTAATTCTGTCTCCTTTTTAATTTTCTACAGAATAAGAAGTGATGATTTCCTTACTAACCCCTGGGCAGGAATGTCTATTTGCCTTTGTGCCTGCAGGTTCGTCTCTTTTCTGGCCTCACCTTCTCTGAGATGCCTCCTTCCCTGATCACCGCCCAACTCCCAGGTTGACCACCTTTCTCCCAGCTACCCCAATCTGTCACTTTCATTCTGCTAAACCTTTCTCTCTGCCCAGTGCTCCATCACCAAGACTTGGCAGGCACATCTCCATTCCACAGTGCCCAGGAATTGCAGATTGCTTTCCGAGCAGGATTTGCACTTTCCTCATGGGCCATTACTCCTATAGATTGGTGAGTGTCATTGTGGGGTCTGCCCCGTCAGTCCATTCCTGTGACAGCACTCACCTACTGGGTCCTCTTAGGAAGTCTCCTTGGGGAAAGCTGGGTCCACCCTCTGATTTCCAGCAAAGAGCTTCAGATTCCCCTGCAGCCTTGGAGGGGAGCACAGTGAATCAAACAGACAGCTCCAGAAGCCCTGCAGCCTTACGGATGTGCAGAGCTAATCATTAAAAGTGGATAACCTTGGAGTCTTGAGGAAATAGCAGTCCTCCTAGCCAAGTTCACAGGCTATACAGTCCTAGAGCCCAAGGGCCAACTGGACCCACTCTTCCAATCCAAGGGGACAAAAGCAGGTTCATGCCCATGACTGACAGACAGTTATTGCTCCAACCAGGGAGAGAGAGCTGGAGCGCAAGTGGACTTGATGGACACTCTCTCACCTCCTTTAACCCTCCCCTTACATGGTTCCAGCTCAGCACATTTGCCTGGTTTTCCTCTCACCTCCCAGTCTCTTTTCTGAATCTTCATCATCTCCTTTATCCACACTCACTCTGTACATAATCTCACCCATTGCCAAAGCTTGGACATCACCTGCCATGACCATGACCTCCCATGAGTGTCTCTAGCCTGGATCTTTCTCCTGCATCCTCATCTGCTTGGCTTCTCTACCTAGTTGGCCTCTCAAACACAGTGTGTCCAAAGCTGAGCACTTTGTATTATCACTCCCTGAAAATCATCTCACTCTAGCTGCCGCTTTATCCACCTCAGGAAATGGCAACCCTATTCTCTTATAGGTCTTCCAACACCAAATCTTGGAGCTTCTCCAACTCTTTTCTTCCACACCTTGATCTGGAAATCCCTCAGCTTTACCTCCAGCTATATCCAGAATCTGATCCATTTTCTGCCCTGTTCCTAACCACCATCTTCTCTCTGCACACAAGTGTGTTGTGTGTCTTTCTTACAAGTCTCCCCTCTTCTACCCTCTTCCCCTGTAGTCCATTGTTAACACAACAGTCAGAGTAAGACACATTTAAAACTAAAGTCAGGTGATCTATTCCTCTCCCAATTCATTGCTGTCACCTACAAGGTCATTGCTTAGGACCTCTTCTCCAAAAACTCTTCCTCTTGATTCTTCTGCTCCAGTATGTGGACACCTTTGCTGTTCTACCTACATGTCAAGTATACTCTGCCTCAGGACCTTTTCATTTGCTGTTATCACTGCCTGAATTCCCTTCTAAATAACTGGTGTCCTTGCTGCCTACAGATCTAAAAGCCATCTTCTTGGTGACTCCTCTCTGCTGATCTGATCAAACATCACCACATTTGCACCTTCCTGCCATATTCCTTTTATTTGGCCACATAGATGCCATTCTCTTCAAATGTCTTACTTGTTTGTGACCTTCTTATAAACCATAAGTTCTCTGGGGACCATGATTTTTGCATTTATTTACTTTTACTCTTTAAGTCCTAAAACAGAGGCTGGTGTGTCTCAGCAAGTTTAGTAAGTGTGTATTCAATAAATTGTTTCTCTCCATCATCAAAACAATTCTATGAAGCAGGGATTACTTTTATCCCATATGTTTAGATGAGGAAACTGAGGCTGGAAGATCCCAAGATCCTGGGGGGCTTTCTAATGCCCCATTGAAAACTTAACTCTTCTTTGCTTCTCCAAGAGCCTGGCAAGGTACCAGTTACCAATGCAGCTTAAATTCAGACTGAGACAAGAACTTGCAGCCCTCAAAGATCTGAGAAATACAGTAGAATCTCTCAGTAACAGAATGGAGCAGGCAAAAGAAAAGATCTCTGACATTGAAGACAAAGCTTTTGAATATTCCCAAATGCTCAAAGGGAAGAGAAGTGGCGAACACAAACGGATCATTTCCTGAGAGAACTGTGGGACCACTGCAAAAGAGCAAACATTTACCTCATGGAATCCCTGAAGAAGAAGCAGATGGTCCAAAAGGCACAGATACTCTATTCCAAAAGATAATTGAGGAGAACTTTCCAAGAATGGCAAGAGATACTGAAATTCAGATAGCAGACAGTTTCAGAACCTCAGCATGACTCAACCCAAATAAAGCATCTTCTAGACACATTGTAATTAACTTCACCAAAGTTAATATGAAGGAGAAAATCCTGCAAGCTGCCAGATGTAAGAAAATCATAATCTACAAGGGGAAAAATATTAAAATGACTTCAGATCTTTCTGCTGAAAGTTTTCAAGCCAGAAGAAGATGGTCATCGACCTTTAATCTCCTAAAACAAAACAACTTTTAGCCCTGTATCCAGCTAAACTGAGCTTCATTTATGATAAAGAAGTTAAATACTTTACTGACTACACACATTAAAGAAATTTGCCATAACCAAACCAGCTCTTCAGAATATCCTCAGACCCATTGTCCTTAATGACCAGCACAATGCTCTACCACCAAAGTAAACCCACTCTGAAATTCTTGACCAAAACCCAATTTCCACAGTGGTGAAAAGATTCAAAATGTCCACTGGACTTTTGAAAAACTTGACACCCAAAATACTACCAGGCTTATCAATACTCTCAATTAATGTAAATGTCTTAAACTGTCCTCTTAAGAGGCACAAGTTTGCTGACTGGATACAAAAACTCAGGCCAGATATCTGCTGCATACAAGACTCTCATATTACCTTAAAGGATAAATATAGACTCAAGGTGAAGGGATGGGCATCTGTAATCTAGGCAAATGGCAATCAGAAAAAAGCAGAGGTAGCAATTTTATTTGCAGATACACTAGGATTTAAACCAACAAAAGTAAGGAAAGACAAAGATGATCACTTTATATTGTTAAGGGAAACACTCAACATGATGAGATGTCAATTATTAACATTTATGTGCCCAACCAGAATGCTCCTCAATTTATAAGGGAGACCCTAACAAACATGAACAATTTAATATCTTCCAGCACCATAACAGTTGGAGATCTTAACATCCCTTTGGGAATATCAGATAGATGCTCGAATAAGAAACTAAGCAAAGAAATTTTGGACTTAAACTTCACCATACAACAATTAAATTTAACAGACATCTACAGAACATTTCATCCTAACAAAACTGAATACACATTCTTCTCATCAGCCCATGGAACATCCTCCAAAATTGATCACATCTTAGGTCAGAAGTCTAACCTCAGCAAATTTAAAAGTATAGCAATTATTCCTTGTATTTTCTCAGATCATCACACAATAAAAGTTGAACTCACCATATAAAGACATGGAAACTAAATAATGTTATGCTGAATGATAGCTGGGTCATAGATGAGACTAAGAAGGAAATTGCCAAATCTTTGGAATAAAACAATAATAAAGACATGAATTATCAGAACCTGTGGGATACTGCAAAGGCAGTCCTAAGAGGGAAATTTATAGTGTTGCAGGCCTTACTCAAGAGAATGGGAAGTGAAAGACAATAACTTAATGGGACATAATAAGGAAGTGGAAAAGGAAGAATATTTCAACCCCAAACCCAGCAGAAGAAAATAACTAAAATTAGAGCAGAATTAAATGAAATCAAAAATAAAAGAATTATTCAAAAGATCAATGAATCAAAAAGTTGATTTTCTGAAAAATTCAACAAAATTGATAAACCTTTGGCCAACCTAACCAAAAATAGAAAATTAAAGTCCATAGTATCATCAATCAGAAATTCCAAAGGGGAAATAACAAGAGACACCTCAGAAATTCAAAAAATCCTAATGAATATGCAAAAAACTTTATTCTCAGAAATATTGAAATCTGAAAGAAGTTGACCAATACTTGGAAGCATGCCAACTTCCTAGACTTAATTAGAAAGAATTGGAAATTCTGAACAGACCTATATCAAGTTCTGAAATAGAATCAAATATACAAAATCTCCCAATAAAGAAGAGTCTTGGACCAGATGGCTTCACATCAGAATTCTACCAAACCTTTAAAGAGGAACTAGTACATATATTACTTAACCTTTTCCAAAGCATCCAAAGAAAAAAAGAAGGAATACTTCCCAACACATTCTATGAAGCAAATATCACCCTGATCCCCAAACCAGGAAAAGGCCCAACAAGAAAAGAAAACTATAGACCAATAACTTTAATGAACATAGATACCAAAATATTCAATAAGATCCTAGCAAACAGAGTCCAGCAACATATCAAACAAATTATATACCATGACCAAGTGGGTTGTATCTCAGGGCCTGAAGGTTGGTTCAATATATGTAAATCTATAAATATAATAGATCACATAAACAAACTAAAAAACAGAGACCATATGATTCTCTCAATAGATGTAGAAAAAGCTTTTGACAATATCCAGCATCCTTTCATGATCAGAATACTTAAGAAAATAGGTAGAGAAGGGACTTTTCTTAAACTGATAGAGGCCATCTACAGCAAACCCACAGCCAATATCATATTGAATGGAGTAAAATTGAAAACATTTCTAATCAGATCAGGAACCAGGCAAGGCTTCCAAAGTCTCCACTACTTTTTAACATTGTAATGGAGATCTTAGCTATCACAATCAGGTAAGAGAAGGCAATCAAGGGTATACAAATAGGGTCAGAGGAGATCAAACTTTCACTCTTCACAGATGATATGATTTTATACCTGGAAAACTCCAGGGACTCAACCACAAAACTCTTAGATGTGATCAAGAAATACAGTAGCATCTCAGGATACAAAATCAATATCCACAAATCAGTAGCTTATATATACATATATACCAGTAATAGTCAAGCCAAACAGTCAAAGACTCTATTCCCTTTTCAGTAGTGCCAAAGAAGATGAAACATTTAGGAATTTACCTAACAAAAGATGTGAAAGAGCTCTGTAAAAAGAATTATGAAACTCTGATAAAAGAAATAGCTAAAGATGTTAACAAATGGAAAAACATACCTGGCTCATGGCTAGGAAGAACCAACATTGTTAAAATGTCCATATTACCCAAAGTAATTTACAAATTTAATGTAATCCCTATCAAAGCACCACTGTCATACTTTTAAAAAGTATGGAAAAAATAGTACTTAATTTTATATGGAACCAGAAAAAAACCTCAAATAGCCAAGACAGTACTCAGAAATAAAAACAAATCATGAGGAATCACACTACCAGACTTCAAACTATACTATAAATCTATAGTGATCAAAACAGCATGGTATTGGCACAAACATAGAGAGGTAGATGTATGGAACAGAATTGAGAACGAAGAGATAAACCCAGACACTTATCATCATTTGATCTTTGGTAAGTCCATCAAAAATATAAATTGGGGGAAAGATTCCCTATTTAACAAATGGTGCTGGGAGAATTGGCTGGTGACTTGTAGAAGACTGACATTGAACCCACACCTCTCACCAGTAACAAAAAATTGACTCTCACTAGATAAAAGATTTACACTTAAGACATGAAACTATAAATATTCTTGGAGAGAGTGTGGGAGAAACACTTGAAGAAATTGGTCTGGGAGAATACTTTATGGGGAGGACCTCCTGGGCAATTGAAGCAACACTAAAAATACATTCCTGGGATCTGATCAAACTAAAAAGCTTCTGCACTGCCAAGAACACAGTAAGTAAAGCAAGCAGACAACCCTCAGAATGGGAGAGGATATTGTACGTTATGCTTCTGACAAAGGTTTGATAACCAGAATCCATAGAGAACTCAAACTTATTAATAAGAAAAGAATAAGTAATCCCATTTCATTGTGGGCAAGGGACTTGAACTGAAGCTTCTTTGAAGATGATAGGCAGATGGGCTACAGACACATGAAAAAATGCTCATCATCTTTCATCATCAGAGAAATGCAAATCAAAACCACTTTGAGATATCATCTAACTCCTATAAGAGTGGCTCACATAACAAAATCCCAAAACTACAGATGTTGGCGTGGATGTGGAGAAAAGGGAACACTTCTGCACTACTACTGGGAGTGCAAGCTAATACATACATTCCTTTTGGAAAGACATATGGCGAATACTCAGGGATCCAAAAGTAGACCTGCCGTTTGATTCTGCAATTCCTCTACTAGGTGTATATCCAAAAGACCAAAAATCACTTTGTAACAAAGATATTTGCACCAGATTGTTCATTGCAGCTCAGTTCATAAAAATCAAGTCATGGAAGAAGCTCAAGTGTCCATTGATCCATGAATGGATTAATAAATTGTGGTATATGTATACCAGTGAATATTATGCAGCTTAAAAAAAGATGGAGACTTTACTTCTTTTACATTTACATGGATGGAGCTAGATCATACCCTACTTAGTAAAGTATCTCAAGAATGGAAGAAAAAATATCCAATGTACTCAGTATTATTATGAAACCAATTTACAATCATTCACAGTTTCATATGAAGAATAGATCACAACTATGGACCAAGATGAAGAAGGGAGGAAGAGGAGATGGGAGGGGAAGGGGGGAGGTCAAATCAAAGGAGGGTGAATGATGGGTTAATGCAAGGGTACATGTTGGATCTATTAGTATAGAGTATAAATGTCTTAACACAATAATTAAGTAAACACGATGAGTTATATATTAATCAGTTGTGATGTAAGCGTTCCTAATTCTATATGAAATCAGCACATTGTGCCCCATAAATGCATTAATCTATACATGATCTATGTGTTTATGATTTAATAATAAAAAAAAGAGGTTCAATACAGAAAAAAAAAGTCATGGGTCTCAGTCATTTTATGTTGCTACAAGGAATAACTGAGGCTGGGTAATTTATGTTTTTTATAAA